ACTGCTCGCCTCTACCACGTATGTAGATATGTATTTCTAAAGAAGTAGAAATAAGTCAAGGAAACACTGGTTTGAATGGTCACTTACAATCTGTTCAGGGTAACCCTGATAGTCCAGCGCTATTCAAAGCCTGTATAAAATCCGACAAACGTGATATGTACTCCCTCAGTATTCTGTGAAATATAACAATACATGTAAATTTGTATTGAAAAGAGATAGGGTTTAAGATTACTTGTGTGAGAATAAATGGCACAAGTAACATTTATTTCATGATATAATATGTTACATTACGGAAGATCGTCCAATCGACTTCTCTTCATTGAAGACAAAATTGGTCAACATTTCGAACGATATTTTCTAAGTTAAACGCTAGTTTTGCTGGAATAATTTCTGTAAGCTTTGACGTTATACGCTTAGAAAAGCTGTCATGACCAGAACTGAAATTAATAGCAGCTTGTTCGGTAATAACCAACCCCGATTCCGGAGGAATATCTAGTCCAGGTTTCGTTGTTATTGACAGAAGCAAAATAATTTCATCCGACTTGCATAGCTGCTCTTTATAATATCATCTTTAACGAACACTGACACCGAATGGCGCTGTCGACCTATTTTGTTGTTTAGGCCGACAATTATGAAATGATTGAAAATCAGAGAATTTGTTCTTCAAAGCCTGTAGGGTGGCTAACAAATGTCAAAATATATTATTAGTGTAATACTAGGAACGGAAATACTTAAATTATCACTGAAAATATACATGAATACTTTTCAATATTCCAACTGAATTTTCCATTTTGAATCCGCCCCCATCACAATCATCCTACCATACATTGGTAAGACCCCTCATCAAATCAGCACCAAGTATTCATCGACACCATGTTCACTCACTCCATCACACAGAACCATCCCCAAGCCAATGGTCGTAAACCCTCCTCCAAAAGCAATCACCCAAAATAGTGGTATACAAGATTATACAAGACAATGTGGTGACTCTTATACAGGTGAAACAGCCATGACAAAGAGCTGAAGCAGCCCTCTCTCACATCACCAACAAAATTTCCTACCCGTTTAATCCAGTTTGACAAACTTGAAGTCATGTCCACTAAGAATTCGGACTTCACAATAGAAATCCGCCGTCACAGACCTTTGACCAACGGTACTACATACCATCGGGCCTACGAAGAGTTGATCAAGCTATACCCTATTAATTAGTAATTGTGGTTTACTTAATCCCTCCTGTTTGTTGGCTTCATGGACCCGTAAAGTTTGTTGTCCTACCTGGCCTCGTCCAATTATGTACCACTTGTTATCAAGTACATACAGGTGTTGATGTTGTTAGCCTGCTGTTTGCTATAATATGGTATGTATGTATATATATATACTTCACAACACTTGTAGTCACTCTTAGCTTGATAGGGGAGGTGAGGTGGCATAGTACTTAAAACGTTCGCTGGTCACGCTGAAGACCCACGTTCGATTCCCCACTTGGATACAATGTGTGAAACCCATTTCTGGTGTCCTCGGCCGTGATATTCCCTATTTCTCATGATCCTGGGTCGCAACATAGGTCGAAGACGAAAGCTCCAGGATCGAGTCATGCCATCATGTCAGTTAAGGTATAAGGTGTTGAAGAGTGACTGTAGGTGTGCAGCAAAGAGAAAGCCTTCTGTTTCACATTTCCGGTCAGCTCACTTCATCTCAGCAAAGAACTCCGCTTGAAAGCTGGTCATCACGACACACCGAGTGTAAACTCCATGTTGTCGTAGAACCAGTCCTTTATAAACCAAGCCTGTGCCGATTTCATGGCACATCGCCATAAATGCAAACTGCGAAATGCCACAAGACAATCATCAGACAAACAAATATGATAACTGCTATCTTTATTATGAAGAAATTTTATTAGGAAATTCAGACGATAAAATGTATATTGCAAACTTACACATGTATGTTTTATTAATTACGTGAACGCTAAAAAATGAAATGAAAACAACATCGCCTTTGCCATAGAGCCTTATATCGGATTTTCCTTAGTTTTAGATTTCCTTGTGCAAATGCAGATAATGACAACAAGTACAACTGCAAGAGCGACGGCCGCTCCCAGGCCTACTCCGACCCATATCAAGAAGTTGGTGGCACTACTGGCCGGCTCAGGGGCAGGGTTTTGCTGGGGAATGGTGAGAGGCTGCAAGGTGATGGAACGAAGGTTCGACAACTCTGACTGGCGACTGGCTTCGTCGAACGCTTTAAGCCCAAAAACATAGAAAGCACTTGACCAGTTGCTCGGTAGCCGGATCGTGACCATTTGCTGCGATCCTGCCGGAAGTGGGTCCATGTTTCCAGTGACTAAGTCTTCGTTCTTAACCATCGCAGCTTGTGTAAAGTTAACTCTGAGGCTCGCAAACGTCACCGCGAGCAACTCATATTTGGCAACTGCAATGAACAATTTCCGTGTGTGATTACAACTTCATAACACATGGTTAACAGACTGTTGACATTATGCAAACAAAAAGCTAAAACAAGACGTATACCAACAAAAAAAAGTATCTGGGCTTAATATAACATGGGGTCATTATTAGGCTAATAGGGAAGGTGTAACAGTACAACAAACAGGATAGAAATCAGACAACTATAGCATTGCAAGGAGATCGTATCCATTGTTTTCAAACTTAACAGCTACAACATCGGCCCCGATCCACAAGGCTAACAACACCATCACCCAGCGTACCGAACCTGCACCTCCATGTCTCTACAACCACGGCGGCAATGTGAACGCACCACACGTATTGCGTAGTTATACCCTTGCGTCACTGAAGTGCTCGTTCGTGGCGGTATCACTGTGATTACCTCATGCTTTGTGAAGATACTCTTTCTAGAAAAGAGCGCACACAATGTGTACTACACAAGGAAGTCACGATTCTTACGGGCAAGCCCGTTCTATTGCGTCACAATCGATTGTACCATTCCCACTATATTTAACCTGTGATTGATTGCATGCTGGTTTGATTAACGTGCAACTCGGCAGCTGTATGACATATGACGGCGATGTGTAAATAATCGAGTCTAGACCAGACAATCCAGTGATGATACCAGGTGTTCGCGAAAAGGTGAACGTGGCACCTGTCATACACGTATGCAAAGGTTGGTCCACTGCTCGCCTCTACCACGTATGTAGATATGTATTTCTAAAGAAGTAGAAATAAGTCAAGGAAACACTGGTTTGAATGGTCACTTACAATCTGTTCAGGGTAACCCTGATAGTCCAGCGCTATTCAAAGCCTGTATAAAATCCGACAAACGTGATATGTACTCCCTCAGTATTCTGTGAAATATAACAATACATGTAAATTTGTATGAAAAGAGATAGGGTTTAAGATTACTTGTGTGAGAATAAATGGCACAAGTAACATTTATTTCATGATATGATATGTTGCATTACGGAAGATCGTCCAATCGACTTCTCTTCATTGAAGACAAAATTTGTCAACATTTCGAACGATATTTTCTAAGTTAAACGCTAGTTTTGCTGGAATAATTTCTGTAAGCTTTGACGTTATACGCTTAGAAAAGCTGTCATGACCAGAACTGAAATTAATAGCAGCTTGTTCGGTAATAACCAACCCCGATTCCGGAGGAATATCTAGTCCAGGTTTCGTTGTTATTGACAGAAGCAAAATAATTTCATCCGACTTGGATAGCTGCTCTTTATAATATCATCTTTAACGAACACTGACACCGAATGGCGCTGTCGACCTATTTTGTTGTTTAGGCCGACAATTATGAAATGATTGAAAATCAGAGAATTTGTTCTTCAAAGCCTGTAGGGTGGCTAACAAATGTCAAAATATATTATTAGTGTAATACTAGGAACGGAAATACTTAAATTATCACTGAAAATATACATGAATACTTTTCAATATTCCAACTGAATTTTCCATTTTGAATCCGCCCCCATCACAATCATCCTACCATACATTGGTAAGACCCCTCATCAAATCAGCACCAAGTATTCATCGACACCATGTTCACTCACTCCATCACACAGAACCATCCCCCAAGCCAATGGTCGTAAACCCTCCTCCAAAAAGCAATCACCCAAAATAGTGGTATACAAGATTATACAAGACAATGTGGTGACTCTTATACAGGTGAAACAGCCATGACAAAGAGCGAAGCAGCCCTCTCACATCACCAACAAAATTTCCTACCCGTTTAATCCAGTTTGACAAACTTGAAGTCATGTCCACTAAGAATTCGGACTTCACAATAGAAATCCGCCGTCACAGACCTTTGACCAACGGTACTACATACCATCGGCCTACGAAGAGTTGATCAAGCTATACCCTATTAATTAGTAATTGTGGTTTACTTAATCCCTCCTGTTTGTTGGCTTCATGGACCCGTAAAGTTTGTTGTCCTACCTGGCCTCGTCCAATTATGTACCACTTGTTATCAAGTACATACAGGTGTTGATGTTGTTAGCCTGCTGTTTGCTATAATATGGTATGTATGTTTATATATATACTTCACAACACTTGTAGTCACTCTTAGCTTGATAGGGGAGGTGAGGTGGCATAGTGCTTAAAACGTTCGCTGGTCACGCTGAAGACCCACGTTCGATTCCCCACTTGGATACAATGTGTGAAACCCATTTCTGGTGTCCTCGGCCGTGATATTCCCTATTTCTCATGATCCTGGGTCGCAACATAGGTCGAAGACGAAAGCTCCAGGATCGAGTCATGCCATCATGTCAGTTAAGGTATAAGGTGTTGAAGAGTGACTGTAGGTGTGCAGCAAAGAGAAAGCCTTCTGTTTCACATTTCCGGTCAGCTCACTTCATCTAAGCAAAGAACTCCGCTTGAAAGCTGGTCATCACGACACACCGAGTGTAAACTCCATGTTGTCGTAGAACCAGTCCTTTATAAACCAAGCCTGTGCCGATTTCATGGCACATCGCCATAAATGCAAACTGCGAAATGCCACAAGACAATCATCAGACAAACAAATATGATAACTGCTATCTTTATTATGAAGAAATTTTATTAGGAAATTCAGACGATAAAATGTATATTGCAAACTTACACATGTATGTTTTATTAATTACGTGAACGCTAAAAAATGAAATGAAAACAACATCGCCTTTGCCATAGAGCCTTATATCGGATTTTCCTTAGTTTTAGATTTCCTTGTGCAAATGCAGATAATGACAACAAGTACAACTGCAAGAGCGACGGCCGCTCCCAGGCCTACTCCGACCCATATCAAGAAGTTGGTGGCACTACTGGCCGGCTCAGGGGCAGGGTTTTGCTGGGGAATGGTGAGAGGCTGCAAGGTGATGGAACGAAGGTTCGACAACTCTGACTGGCGACTGGCTTCGTCGAACGCTTTAAGCCCAAAAACATAGAAAGCACTTGACCAGTTGCTCGGTAGCCGGATCGTGACCATTTGCTGCGATCCTGCCGGAAGTGGGTCCATGTTTCCAGTGACTAAGTCTTCGTTCTTAACCATCGTAGCTTGTGTAAAGTTAACTCTGAGGCTCGCAAACGTCACCGCGACGCGCAACTCATATTTGGCAACTGCAATGAACAATTTCCGTGTGTGATTACAACTTCAAAACACATGGTTAACAGACTGTTGACATTATGCACACAAAAAGCTAAAACAAGGCGTATACCAACAAAAAAAAGTATCTGGGCTTAATATAACAAGGGGTCATTATTAGGCTAATAGGGAAGGTGTAACAGTACAACAAACAGGATAGAAATCAGACAACTATAGCATTGCAAGGAGCGAGGCAGTGGTAGCGAATTGAAGGCAGCAATTGATCGAAAGCTGAGATATGTTGCCCCGATAGTGTACGCCCTTCGAATTGACATGAACAATTTTGAATTGAAATCCACTCTGCTTTTGAACTTTGTATATACGTGTACTATGGGCCTGACTGTGGCCTTCAGTTCTGAATAAAGATTGATTGAAAGAATTGAGTTCTTCCATGAGTATATTGATGCTACCCAATATCATTACAATTCCACTTCCAACTTTACGATGGTGGTAACGAAACTGTCGCCAGAGCGTTCTGGTCTTGCACGATCTTCGGAGCTGTCCAGATAAAGCCTGTATTTTTCTGTAAACAGTTTACTGTCCTGTCTTCCAGATGGTGACATGGATGGAAATCTGGGTACATCGCTGGACGTAGGGGCTTACTGATGTCACTAATTGGTTTCAACCAAGGAATTGAACGAGCTGTTAATGTGGCAGCCAACTATCTATTTCTTAAATGCACCAACCGAATATGGTTGTATACGATCGGCTGTGTTATGTCATGAAAACTGACCTGCTGAAGATGGTGTCTTCAAATAGATGACGCGTTGTGATGAACATCGTAATGCTTAGAAATATCGTTTTAGGCCATTCCCTGTTGCGTCATCCTAACGGCGTTGATTTAGCGGCCAGGCCATGGCACTGCATAGTTACTTTAACAATGTTAAAGTAGAGGAGATGCCTTTATTAACATGCATCTAATTTCAATTTCCTTTCATTGAACTATATATGAAGCACAGTTACTTCAGTACATATGATCCTCACCTGTTCCGACATTCAGGTCATCCCCTGGAGCAGTCCAAGACAAGGTCACGGTCTGACTGAGTTTGTTTTGTATAGCAATGTCAAGGTCGGTGACTCGTCCTGGATCCAGCTGGTCAGCTGTGGGGTTATAGCCAGATATATCTATGGCATCTGGAGAAGCTGTTCTGCTGAAAGCTTCTACCTTTTCATATCTCACAGGTGGTGTTGTATCTGGCAAAAACATACCACAATAAATATCAGAAAACGTTGCAGTGAAAGTTTTGGTGGTGTTTGCAATGACAACAGGACACATTTACCAATACGGTTGTTTCATCCTTTCATGCAATGTATGCATGCGTGTGTGGATAGGTGGACGAGTGAGTAGAGTGAATGTTGCTTTACGTTTGTGTCACAGTGGCATATAATCAACGGAGTCCTACAATAAACCCTACAGGGGTAAGATGACAAAACAGCAGCTGGGTTAACATTACACATCGATTACTGCAATCCTCACGAAACTCCGTTCTGGGATAGATCCTGAATAACCTATCGTTTCCATATGAGTCGGGCGGTAAGGCTTGGAGCATTTGTATATTTCATTGGACGTTGAATATACTATTATAGGCTGGTGTTGTACAGCTAATAGAACGGCGTTACACAACATTCACTTTCAAAATCACAATTATTTTGAAACACTGAAATATGACCAAAACTGCAAAACCATGGATGAGGATAATTGAATTCGCTTGTGATGAAGTATGCAAGTTGATACCTTAACGAGGTGTAACTGGACTATGTAAGAGCCGTAGTTCAGTGAAATCAGGGCGTGTCAGCCTCATGGAGATCAGAAGTCCAATTCAGGACGCTTTTGGTATTGTTGAAGTTCGCTCATGGATGGTGCAACAAATCAAAATCGACGGGAATTAGCGATTCGTGCCAAGATCGGCAGATCCAGGCTAGGCTAAGGGGCGTAACTGGACAAAATGGTCTACGAAAACACAAGTTCGCATGTCTTTAAACTGATCCAATTTGTGTGCTACTCGTTTATGGTAGTTTGGGCAGGGGAGGCCTAGCCCCCTGAGGATGTGCAGAGTTGTGGACCTTGGGCACGCCAGAAACGTATGATCTTGGGTTCGAATCCTGGTTCGTCCCGATTATGCTTGTAGGTTGGTCTGCACCAGTACCCATGCTCGTGTGTTTCACCAAAACTCGAAGACCAGCTTCACTTCAGACTTACCTCCAACATTAAGCTGATATGCTGTGATATAACCGGAATAATGAACACTGTTATAGCCTGCGTTGGATATCTTGTTAAGGATATACCTTGCTGTTTAAAGATAACACTTACTCTGAAAGACAGAGAGTGTTCTGCTAGGCAGGGCGTTTCCAGCTTTGATGATGACAGTCTCTCCCTCCACCGACTCCACCCTCACATCCATAGAGTAACGGGAGTTGGACTTGAAGCCGAGCAGATAGTTGCTGTAAACGCCGTCATTGGCTGTGTTGTCAGGGACTGTGAAACAAACGAACTAGCCACAGTAACTTTGCTCTGAGAGCAACTGACAGAACATAAACATCCAGATTAATGAAATTATACTTCGGTGTACTAAAAATCCGAAACATTTATTAAAGAAATATCTTATGCATTCGAAATAATTAACACAGCTTCATTTGTCATATACAGCGTGGTAGAAATAGATCGGTCGACTTAAAGTTGACACTGCCCTCGTGCCCTCTGCTCAAGAAAATACTATTTAAAGGTCACATGCAAAGTAAAACACAACGTACGGTATGGACTTACGGTAACAAATGATAAAAAATGCAAATTCAACTTATAAAGTTGAAACAACGCGATGAAAAACCCCGCGAAATCGGAGTTGAAACGATTCACAAAATTCACCCCAGCGGTGATGAAAAGTGGTTTAAACAGCTGTGCTGCGCATGCGCAGTGAAAGTTGTGTCTGTCTGCCTGTCTGCTAATGACAATATGCAATACACATCTTCGATCACTGACTTCATGCAATTTGAACTTAACACCTATCAGGCTATACACCATAAACAAAACGCATTGATTTATGTCTCGTGCACCCGAGTTCTGTCTCTGTCACATGATGTAATTACACAGACAGGCAGGTGTGATCGCGTACCGATCCGTCGAATTTCTGATTTCAAAGTAGTAAAATGCATTCGACGGATGAGCACTGTGATCTTAGCTACAAATTAGTTATCAAAACATTGGATCATACCAAGAAAACGACGAAAGGGGTGTTAGATGGTTTGACTCTTTATTTTTGTACTTTTGTACTCATCTTTGCCTACTCATATGATACAATGAGAAATTGAAGCATTAAATATATGTTTGGACTCTCTATTTTTGTACTTTTGTTCAAAATTGAAATTGATGCATTAACCCTTGTCTTATGGAGCTGGGTCCAAATGGATCCCAAGGCTATAAATATTGTGATAGAATCGCTCAGTGGTGAACTATCTTAATGGGACGTTTGGATATCTTCAATTGACCTTTTTTCTTTTAAGATTTAGAAAGAATTTCCATTATAAAGTAGTTTATGTGTTATTGCACATACCCTACTGGGGACTGATGGGGTCCATAAATAAAATAATCTCTCTCTTTGTATGTCTGTCCTGAAATTGTTGACGATATTGTCAAATGGACACATAAGTTTGCTGAAACTAAACTTGTGGCACACAGTGGAAGCGTAACTATGTAAGAAAACATGTAGTCTAATCCAATACAATACAAGCCGACCCCTTAATTAATTAACTTAGACTCTCCCAGTGTGTTAACACGGTCTAAAATCTGACCGATTAGCACATAACCACTCAAGCATGATTCGACTGCTGACTGTTCAAAATTCGACGGATTAGGCCGTAATCACTTGTACACATGACATGTTATGGTGTCTGTTGATTGCAAAATGTTATACATAAAAAATGAGCATGTATTTACAAAACCCAACATCTCTATACACACACTTAGAGTGTATCGGCAAATGTACCAGCCAATGAAAGTCTTCGTTACACTTAAGAGCACGCCCACCCGCTCTGACTGGGTTCGGTATCCCGGGTGCTTCGTTTCCAGAGAAGTTAACCCAAGTACAAAATATTGCACTTTTGTTTATTTGGGGTTTTTTCATAATCAGCAATGTATATTATATGTCATGAATAAGTGATAATTGTGTTTAAATTATGTTTGTTTTGGGGTTGAATGTGACCTTTAAGGTAAGTATGTGAAGAGACATAATACTCACGTAAGCCATTATCCTGGAGAGTAATGTTCAATGTGTCGCCTGGTCTAGAGACCTCTACCTCAACTGAGGCATTGACGATTGGAGCGTATCCCTGGTGAACGTAGGCGTAAGCCACGACTCCACTACGACCTCCTGAGTAGTCATACGTCTTAGAGCTGGTCCAGGTATCCACCTTGAAGGGCAGGGTGCCAACCCTTGGGCGTGACGTCACCACAGCTGTTATGCTTTCGTCCGTGTTAGAGTTGCGTTCTAAAGTATACGTCCATGTTCCCGTCTAGGAGTAAACGTTACGACATGACGTGGGGCAGGTACATCTGAGCCATGTCTTACAATATCATCCCAGAAGCGATTTTGAAATCAGTTTGTCAAATCAGCGTAAGTAAGAGATTTTAAATCTCACACACAGTACAAGAACAGTAATCAGTGTAAACGACATATTTACAACATTTTTACCTAAATAACGAAAATGCAACACAGTCATCTATCTAGTTATTAAATCAGAGCTGAATCAGGAAATACTCTTTCCAATCTTGCATTATTGAATGTATGAATCACTGGGATGCCATAACTGGAATGGATACTATTGGAATCTGACACAAAAAGTGACATTAGGTCAAGATAAATGCATTTCATTCCTACACTGGTAGGCCATATAATTATATTCTATGCATTACTATTTTACTGTTTAAAAATAGCTTTATGTGCATATAATAACACGAAACAATCATACAAAACACGGTAAATGTTAACATGGTTCAAGATGGATTCATGCAATACGTTTTACTTTTGTCTTACCTTCACCAGTGGGAAAAGGAATCTTTTGATGTTTAAAGTCTCATCATTGCTGTATTCGTTGGAATTCGAATTATAAACAACCCCAGACGGATCTCCAATTTTGATCTATGGGGAATGAAGGGTATTTTTGAGAAGACAAACGAACACAATTGACGTAAAGTGTACAATGAGCAGAGCGTTGTTTAGTAAAGGGCAGGTGATGTTTTAAATTTCGTTAACCCGAAGTCATTTACTTCGTCGGGAGAATCGGAGTACCGACACAAGGACATAGTGTTCAGAAGAAATCTGCTTCAAAGAAATGTCATCTTATGACGGTTTAGCGGTACTGAAGTATCTGGGATGTAGGCTTTTCAAACATATAGGATTGGCTTACTTGGATAATATGACAATCCTTCGTTAAATCAGGTTCGTTAGGTTTCTTGAGTATTAAAACATGAGATGGTCTGATTTTACAAATCACTTCAATTCACCTCTGTTTCCGCACCCTGTGACAAGGTAAAGATGAAACGTGTGTTGTTACCGACGGTGGAGTCAATCACAAGTATTCTGATGATTGTCGTCTTTGTTGACGTTAGAACAAATGCGCCACGATCAATCTTGAAAACAATTTAGAGCAATCATGGATATGTGGAATAAACCTAAATGTTTATTTTACTTTAGAGTCAACAAACAAGTACAGCAAACCAAGCCAGTGATTGACAGTGTGAAAATACTTCAGCAACAAATTTGCAACCACCTCACCCTAATCAGTCGGATGTTGGCATCTTTTTCTGCCCTGGAAGCAATAATATGAACTTGAATTGTTCACATCACATGCTAGGTAGTTCGGTTACCTCAATATCATCATCGTCCTCGTCGCAGAGGTTGATGTCTTTCAGAAGCCGCTCTGCCGCACCCGCAAGAGCTGTCGAACCGGACGACTCGTCAAAGAACGAATACTGACCGCCTGCCAAATGAAACATTACTGAATCCATTACATTCAAGATATCTGGTATCCTAACAAAAATGAATACTTACCTCCTGTCACATACCACAATGTCATTAAACACCCATGGTATTCAGGTTGTCTGGGTTCCTAATAAAATGAATACTTACCTCCTGTCACATACCACAATGTCATTAAGCACCCATGGTATTCAGGTTGTCTGGGTTCTGAATAAAATGAATACGTACCTCCTGTCACATACCACGTCGTGCTTGAGAATATTTCGCTCATATGACGACGTGCATGCGTGTGTATGTGTATGTGCGGCTGCTTGTACTAGCCCAGACTTAAGCTGGTTTTATAGTGCTAGCCCACTGAGATACCATGCCGCAGTGAAGCATGAATACCCCACTCAGACTCCGAGCCGACCAGTCCTTGTTGTAACCATTAATTCCGAGAGCCAGGCAGGGACCAACAAGTACCACATTTTAACGTCTTTTGGTATGACGCTGTCGGAGATCGAACCCGGGATCCTTCCGCTCTCCGGGCGGACGCTCTAACCACTATATCACGGAGACGGTCTGGTAAAATGAATACTTACCTACTGGCACAAACAGAAATGTCATTAAACCCATGATATTCAGGTTGTCTGGGATAATATAAACCAACCTCCTGCCACTTGCAAGGGGCGGTGGGGTATCCTAGTGGTCAAAGCGTTCGTTCGTCTCGCCGAAAACCTGGGTTCGATTCCACACATGGGTAGAATGTGTAAAGCTTATTTCAGGTGTCCACCGCCGTGATGTTACTGGAATATTACTAAAAACTAAACCACTCACTCACATATCACTTGCAAAAATGTATGTCATTTCCTGCTTACCAGTTACTGTTGACAGTCTTTGTAGGACTTCCGCAGCAGCATCACTATAGGCCATGGTATGAACAACAACCTTGGAGCTTGTAATATCGGAAAAGATGGCGTTCACAGACGGATTAATGTTTTCCCTTCCATCAGTGACGAGGAATATTCGTCCATTTTCTGTCGTTTCCCCCGTGCCGTTTAGCATCTAGATACATAGAACATATGATCACTGTTTGTCTCAAGTTGACGCCGCATCTGAAACATTTCCAGCCGTATCTGACAAACTAGATATTCATATCCAAGTTGTTGGAGTACGATGGAATCAGCGAGCATGTCCTCACTGCATATTAAATTGTTTCATTAAATGTATTATCTGGACGGTTATATTTGTAATCTGAGATCCCCGTATTCTGGAACTATGAATAAGACTACTACAAAGAAAGAATTATGTCAACTCAAAGATTCAGATTGACAAAATCTCTCAAGAAGAGGGCATCACCTTACTCTCAAATAATTTATTTTCCTTTCATCTCGAACATTATCCCAGAAAATCAAGCCTTGGTGTCAACATTTCAAAACGTGCCTGGTGCAATCGAGTATAATCTTTAACGAAAAACATTAAACAGCAGAATACATCTCTTGGTCAAAAGGTGTAAGATCATTGTCAGAGCATCCAAGCACTCAATTAAGCTCTCAGAACGTTTTATGGCGGTCACGTTGTGAGCATGTCCATAGCTGAAGCATCAGCGACACACTTGATGTCCCTTGTACTGCATTCGGCCGTGTGTTGTACAGGTACATAATTAGCATTCTTTCTTTAAATCTGCCTATCCACGTGATCAAATCCATATTTTCGCAAACCTGCTTGTGACCATACAGCCAGTGTTATGTTTATGAGAAAGACAATCATACATCTGTACCTCGATGGCTTTTAGAAGACCTAATCCTATAGCTGTAGCACCAGCATAGTCATTTATGTCCGGCAGACCCCGGGCCAGCATCTGTCTGTCCGCAGGGGATGTGATGAAACGCATGTTGGCCCAGATTCTGGCAGAATTGGAATACACCACGATCCCCACTTCTGTGCCGACAGGTAGAATGTCCCTGATGATCCGATCAGCCATTTGCCGCAGTCTGAAGTATCTGGAATTCTGTCACAGTCATGGAGTCATGGCAATATCATTAAAATGTCTGTTTTGTTAATATACAAGATGATTACATGGAAACACCAGGGACCAATAATTGTATTTGTGTCATCAATTATTGAGCAATTTCTGTTCTGGTACATTTTGTCCCTAATCCTACTTTCGTTTCATTCCAGCAAAATCTATCCTATACAAGATAAGATTAAATGTCATCTCGCAAATTAGCTCGAATTTTATGGCATTAATTCATTAGACATGCAAATTGTGGGATGTGGCAAGTGTTAAAGAGGCGTTCTTGCATTGAATGTTTGTCATAAACATGTATTTATTTGTTCTCATACTAAGCGGCACATTTACATGTCATGATCGCGTACTTTATCAAGACAATAAAAGTATTCAATAAGATGCGTGAAATAGTTGCTTACCTCTTTCATCGACCCCGAGAGATCTAACAGAAGAACGATTCTACGTCCACAAATGGTTGTGTTGCCAACCGGCTCTCTCTGGCGATAGACAACATTGAACTGTGGGGCTCGGTTACTAATGTCCACAGGGTTACCTCCCTTTATGTCTGTATGTTCTTTGATGACGTCCCAAGTTCCCCTTTCGCTGCACATTTTGTTATGCCTGTTTGGTGCATTGGGGTTATGAATCAAGTCCATTCTACCACTGTCAGGGTCACTTTCGCAAAAGTGAACCACCTAGAAGGTAAAATGTTGCGTCAGTTTTCGGAGATATAATGTATTCTAAACTTAACAACTTAACTTTTATTACTATTGGAACTGCAAGAAAAGAAGCAATGGCACAATCAATGCATATTTTCTTGCGTAATAGTTGATAGTTTCAAGGGCAATTGTTTGTGTCAGTTTCCAAGCTTGCAACGTATTCCGTATTACGAACGAAATAAACGCAATATGGTTGATGTTAGCCCCCAGCTATTCCGGCTAAATGGCACTGGTCACTGGTGTATGAATGATCAAATCACAATCAGACAATGACTTATATAAAAGCAATGTCCAGTAACACTGGGATAGATGATATGCACTCACCAAAGTTACCTAGCCTGACAGTGTTTGCCCTGAACCCTGAAAAGCTGCAGGCCCTAAGGACCCAGAACCATAAAAAGTTGTGGTTCCTGATCAGAATGTGTAGGCCCTATATTTTAATATGGAAATAATTCTCTTAGTTATTGGGGGATGAAAAAGCCGTCGGTCATAAGGACCTGCAGAAAACAATAGCTGTGGGAGTGAATGGTTTTCAGTTGGCCTCGGGGCTAAGGACCTAAGTTTCGAACGCTGGTGCCTGGCCATCCATTTAGTTACAAACACGTGTATATGTTTCTGGAGATTTTCTAAGCTGTAATCAACAAATTGAGTTATGCATTCGCGAACAAAAACATTATTCTGGAATTCAAATCGGAAAAATGCTTATGAATGAATACTTGATCTCGTCGTCGCTATATGGCTGAAATAATGCCGATGCGACGTAAAACCCAACTCAACTCAATCTGTTTACCTCCTTCAAGAACTGGGCATACATGACAGACGTTGTGGCCGTGTTGTCGAAGGCGTTTGGGAGAAAGTAACAGTCTTTATTCACCACATCCTTACTGTCAACAGGTTCGCAGCTGGAGTCTTTCACTTCATTGATAAAGTTACCGGTGATGTCGGTGGAGCAGGCAGTGGGGCGTACGGTCTTCCCTGTGTCATCTACGTAATAGACTGGGTGCTGGCGGCTACCGGGGATGCCGTACTCATCAAATACGCCAAATCTTAGATGGGCGAACTCGTGCACCAGAACACGACCTTCGTGTTTGGAAACAAAATCATGAACAAATTAGAGTGCGGCGTTTACTAAACATAAGAATGTGTAAATAACGTACCATATACTTTAGCTTAGTAAAAAATACAAATGAAGCACATTGTGATCTGTTTGATTGGCATTTTAGAAGTTGATGAATAATAAGAAAGGTACGATACTTGTATGGATAACAAATTTCTTTGTTATGATGCGACGTTTTGGTATAGATTGTTACACAGTGAAGCAAGAGTGAAGTAATACAGCTGTTATAGGTATTTGCTTCATTATAACGTCGCACAACTAAGGTATTTCGGCGACGGGGTAGTACACTTATTAAAAAATGAGGGGGAACAAAAAGTAGAAATTTTGAAGTAATACAGCACAGAACCGACTTATAGATATGTAACAGAGATTAAGTTGAGGAGGCAGAACAAAGTATACATAGCAGATAGGATTAATTAGCAATGATGGTGGCTGGAGTGCTCTGTTCTGGGGTTTTTTCCAGTTTATTGTTGGTTGTCAGGGGTAACACTCCACCTACCTGCATCCCCATAATTGATGTCACGACCGTTGTCTTTGTCCAGCACATAGTCGGGTGTCAGAAGGATATAGCGTCCTGGCTGCCCACACTGCCCTGGTTGGAACGTGTAGGGAGTATTGCCCTGTGAATGTAATGAAGAATTAATTTACTGTGTCGAAATAATAAAAATACACTGTATGATAACATGTAAGAATTTCTTTGTAGCAAGAGCTGCCTTTCAAAATCTTTTTATGATCTTGTTCACAAGGCCAAAATATGGAATCTTCTGTTTCGTAGTTTATCGGGCACTTGGCGTTTACTATTGGCTCAAATGCGGACCGATGAAGTGCAAAATTACTCGAAAAGTATTTGACATGTAATACTCAGTGAAACGCTGAACATAATCAAGACATATGTCCAACTCTGTGAGTTTCTTTTGCAGAATTAACTATCATCAAAATATTGTCACATGTCAATATTTCTTACGAGGCAGGAGTGCAAAGAGAGGAACTAGAAGCACGTGAACACGTGCCGACAAAGGTTTTGATTCACCTACCTCTGCTGAGAGATAAACACGATATAAGACCCGCATGAAGTTACGTCTATTATTTACAAAGTCTATGATTGTTTCAAGGCTGAATCACAGAGGAGTGGACTCACACATGCAATTTCTAAATATGTAAAACGCACAGCTTGTGCTGTTGGGATGTCTGAGCGACAATGAAAACACGTACAGAGCAGCAGAAATGGCCTTTTAGCCAACAGTATCACACCTGGGCTCATTTGCACAAAGCGATCTTAGCGCTACAATGATTGCAACTCCCATTCTCCAACATAGGCTTAAGATAGTCGGTTCACGGTTTCATTCTCAGGACGTGAACAACCTGAAATTTTGCATTCGCAGGACGTGGACAGACGGTGTACCTTTGATGTCGTCTGTTGTTTTTGTAAGGGATTAATGAACTGGGAAGTGTTAAAATGTGAACTGTTATCCGGAATTGTTAAGGTTTCATGAACTCTGTTCACTCTTGTAAGCATGTGACTATGATAGGTGAGTGAGTTCACTCAGAAAATGTTTGGTTTAAACATATTTTTATTCCTGAAGAATCTGGTTTGGTAAACAAGTAGAACTTTGCTTGTATCCATATCTCACCAGTACATACATCATTTAAACAAAACACACAAGAACTGATACACAAAACGACAAATAGAATCATATATGTGCGTGGTAGGTGCTAATAAACCTTGAGCCTGCAGTTACACTTCATTTATTATTGTTTACATATATTAGTATAGAATAATTTATCAAATTGTTAGGACTTAAAGATGTATTGATGCAGGGACTCTGTTATGTTCTTATTGACACCGTTGTTAGCTGGAGGTATTCCGTATAACACAGTTTGGAGGCTATGGCCATTTACATAGGAAGAGGTATTATTTCCAACAGCAGTGTATAACTTACATGTAAAAAGATAGTAAACAGTATCTTCATTGTGGTATTCACAAGCGCGTCCAGGGTTGTTAGAAATGTGTCTAGTTACTTTCGCATTCAAATCACTACAGCAGAGCTTAAGTTGACAGTGTACGATCTGACAGAACCGACTGCCATAATTCAGATCTAGATAAATATTTGATTCATCATTTTTAAGCAGAGATTTGAATTCACCGATTGAATTAGCGAATACGAAATTATTAGGTATGAATTCTAAATTTTACTTGAGTCAGGAAGGAACGATTGTTCATATATTTTAGCCCTTTAATTTATTGTTTGTAGCATATATCTATTACGGAGATCATATTGACTGTTTTCAGAGACAAATGTAGGAACCAGGTCACAGAGGTAGTCAGATTGGACCGTGGGGACATCAGAGTCATTGTGTTTGCCGACACAGTGTCTTATTTATTAAAACTGAAAAAAAGAAACTTGTTTCGTTTCCATATAACTTCACAATCTAGTATTGCCCGAAGTCTTGCAATCACACTCTCTGTCTATTGTCTGGCGTTAATTAGCTCAGTAACCCATTCGCACGAAGTGGACACTTTTTGTCTGGACTTTGTTTTTACACGACACAGGGTTTCCACGTCCCGAGAATACCCCAGATAGTCGTAGCGCTAGGATCGCTTTGTGCAAGTGGGCCCTGAAGGGGCTGTCTCAAAACCAGTGAAAGTAGAAAAACTTGATTCGTTCAAAAATAACTTGTTCGGAATGCTATTAGGAGGTTAATTGGCGAAAATAAATTCCTTTCCTTGCGTGTTTTAAAGAAGCACATGGAGACTGACCATTCCCTGCATACATCAGTTATGGTTATTGCTAGATAAATTTGGGTTTCGTTATAAAAAGATTAGCGGGAAGAATACGCGTGTTCTCTCTGAAAGATCCGACATTATTTGCTTACGAAATAGTTACTAGCAAGCGCGTAGCAAGCCATTTGTTTCGTGTAAGCCCGATAGGTTGCACAGCTTTATATTTAGATAGTATTGAGGACTTGCCCAACCTGTTTGGCAACAGTCTTGTGTAAGCCCAGGTTTTTTGATAATGGTAGCTACGTCCCTGACTTGCGAGCAATTAGGCAAAAACGCAATGAAGGTTTCGAATCTGTTGATGAAACGTGGGAGAATGCCAGTCACACCGTAGGTACCCAATGGGTTGCAAGTACATCAACAGAAACATGCGTACGAAAACTCCCACTTGGCAAGGGTGAGCGTTTGATTGTGTGACATGCAGGATGTAAAAGTCAGGGGGGTTTGCCTGGGTTTCGCTTGTATTTAAAGCAAAATCCAAGACATTCGTGACTATGAGAGGTGCTTTTAGAATGGCTACGAAAACAGCTTGTTCACGCCTTGCCGCCCAAAACCTTGGTGGTCAGGGACGGGGACAGCAGGAAGGGGGGTATGTTGGCATGGCTTGAGAAAAAATGGTTTGTCAATTCCATTAAAGGTAACAAAACCTGTTTTGTACGGAATTAATAAGGAAATAAAAATAACCCCGTGTATCAGGTTCACCAATACTTAACGAGTCATGGTCATGAAGTGCTTCGTCTTCCCCCTACCATTATGACCTTAACCCCATAGAGCTGGGCCTCCTTTCACAAAGCACTAAGGTGATGATCGTAAGTCACTAAGGTAACCTTAGTGCAATATTAAAGAATGGGTGAAAGAAACCCCGGATCTAGGGTATCATTAAGTCCGAAGTGGGAAGAAATAACGCCACCTTTAAACTTGGTGATGTGCAGAAACGTGCAGCAATCCATCAGTAACATCTTGCAAGAAAAATGGCAGAGATGTGTTGAAAAAGTGGAAAAAGATATTGAAACTAAATACTGGCAAGAGAGTGCTTCAGGCCATGCCACCATTAGGCCAGTCGTCGTCAGAGTGGACAGCAGTTGTTCAGAATCAGAGTTGGATTCAGACGATCTCTCTGTGACAATATTTCACTGATAGTTTGTTACACACTTTTTAATTTTTAGGACACAAATTCTGCAAAAGATCTTATAGCGTTGGTCCGATGTTTCTATTATGATCAGCGTTTCACTGTGTATTATATGTTTATTAGATTTCGAGTTAGACTGCGATTCATAGGTCCGCTTTTGAGCGGGTAGTCTAGTGGTTAAAGCGTTCGCTCGTCACGCCGAAGACCCGAGTTCGATTCCCCTCATGGGTACACTGTGTGAAGCCCATTTCTGGTGTCCCCCGCCGTGATATTACTGGAATATTAATTTTGCTAAACGTGGCTTAAAGGCAGAGTGTCACACCACATGCCTCTAAAAAACCATAATGCATTTCTCTCAATCATACTAACTATCAGCCTCGGGGAATCTACCATGTACATGTAATTTATTCCAAAAAATACGTATTTAGATTACAATATTAAATTAACACGTTCGAATGAATTAATTCAGCGTTGCATTAAATCGACTCTCGCGCCCTCTACCGGCCGAATATTATTTCAAGCGAACCCCATAGAGTTATTCCCTTGGAGCGCTGTTTACGAATATCCTATAAAGCAATCGTTTACATTCCATATAGGGCATGTATTATCTGTTTGGAAGCTGCTCGCCTCAAGTACAAATGCCCCCAATATATAAAACATAGGCCAACATATTGTCGAAAATGTGTGACATTGTGCCTTTAAAACTAAACTCGTTCACTCACTCATTATACTTCAGTTGATGTATAACTGCTATATTTTCATATTTATTTGTGTAATGTACGATTGACCTGTGGCGTCATAATACCATAATAGATGAGTGAGTCGATGCACGCGGAATACAATGAGGATGCATTGAATCGGGATTCATAATGAACTACACAATCGTTGCACGCAGTCGGGATACATGACATACTACAACGTCATAATCGATGCTTCAAAGACTACAATCATCATTGTTTCAGCTGCTACGTCACATCACAGTACAACATTACATCACCGCGAGAGGCAATACACAACATAAACCACATGCTTATAACATTATTTTAGCTGATATGGAAGAAAATGGTATTGTTTGGTAAGGTTGTGAAAATGACAAATATAATATGCCAATTCTTTCATAAATAATAGCCCTAAATATTACCTGTAGAGAGTGAGACGAATCCACTCTGACATCTGCATCAGTAAAGGTTATCTCCCCTTCGTCTTTCCAGCTTGGATCTTTGGTCCACGTGTCTGGTACTAAGATGGTCACACGTCTAATGTAGGTGAACTTCCGGGTTGTAGTGTACAGGTAGTCCGAGGCAGAGGTAAACATGCTCTGAAAAAGATCATTGATAGATCTATGGCCCATTTGTAGCTATAAATACACATAACGTTCTAGATGGTTCAGGACAAAATGTGAAAAATGAAAACGGCTTCTCGCATTTAGACCAGTGCACGAATTTGGGATGATACAGGATCCATACACTTCCAACAACCGCCCTTCCCTTACTGAAGAATCTTTGGTGTCTTCATTACTCAACGTTCGAAATACAATAATGATCTTTTTTCTACGATACTTTCAAAGAGTATACCTTGCTCAAAGGTTGCTTGATCAATTATAAATGTTACAACAAGCAAGGCTTCAGTAATACTTAAGAATGTAATGGCAGACATGTAATGGACAGGCGTGTCAAAGTGTTACCCATTGCTGTGTGTAGGATATCAGACCGATAGACAGACAGACAGAAATATATTTGATTAAAGTGTCACATGATATGTTACAGGTAAAACAACATTTCAAATGCTTATATAAAACATATCACCCAGCCATAACATTGGCTTATGAGACACTGATAAAACAAATTAACTAAAAATATGTACAATATACAATATCGTATGTACATACAACTCTTAATGTCGAAACATCCCTATGTGTAGACACCTGTATCTACATACTACTCGAAGTGTTGACATGTTCCACTATGTAAACACCTGTATCTACAGGTAGTGTTGACACGTTCCACTATGTAGACACCTGTATCTACAGGTAGTGTTGACATGTGTCTACTATGTAGACACCTGTATCTACATACTACTGGTAGTGTTGACATGTTCCACTGTGTTGACACCTGTATCTACATACTACTGGTAGTGTTGACATGTTCCACTGTGTAGACACCTGTATCTACATACTGCACGACCGCCTCCGTGGTGTAGTGGTTAGAGCGTCCACCCGGAGAGCGTAAGGTCGCGGGTTCGATCCTCGATCCCCGACCGCGTCATACCAAAAGACGTTAAAATATGGTACTTGTTGGTCCCTGCCTGGCGCTCGGCATTAATGGGTACAACAAGGACTGGTCGGCTCGGAGTCAGTATAATGTGTCTGAGTGGGGTATTCATGCTTCACTGCGGCATGGTATCTCAGTGGGGTAGCACTATAAAACCAGCTTGAGTCTGGGCTAGTACAAGCAGCCGCACATACACACACACACACGCATGCACGTCGTCTCAAGCACGACGTAAAACCCAATTTCACCTCGCCTCACCTAACATACTACTGGTAGTGTTGACATGTTCCACTGTGTAGACACCTGTATCTACATACTACTGGTAGTGTTGACATGTTCCACTGTGTAGACACCTGTATCTACATACTACTGGTAGTGTTGACATGTTCCACTGTGTAGACACCTGTATCTACATACTACTGGTAGTGTTGACATGTTCCACTGTGTAGACACCTGTATCTACATACTACTCGTATAGTGTTGACGCGTTCCACTATGTAGAAACCTGTATCTACATACTACTGGTAGTGTTGACATGTTCCACTGTGTAGACACCCGTATCTACATACTACTGGTAGTGTTGACATGTTCCACTATGTAGACACCTGTATCTACATACTACTCGTATAGTGTTGACGTGTTCCACTATATAGACACCTATATCTACACACTACTGATAGTGTTGACATGTTCCACTATATAGACACCTATATCTACATACTACAGGTAGTGTTGACGTGTTCCACTGTGTAGACACCTATATCTACACACTACTGATAGTGTTGACATGTTCCACTATATCGACACCTATATCTACATACTACTGATAGTGTTGACATGTTCCACTGTGTTGACATCTGTATCTACAGGTAGTGTTGACGTGTTCCACTGTGTAGACACCTGTATCTACATACTACTGGTAGTGTTGACATGTTCCACTGTGTAGACACCTGTATCTACATACTACTGGTAGTGTTGACGTGTTCCACTATAAAGACACCTATATCTACACACAACTCATAGTGTTTACACGGTAACACGTCAACAGAAGGAGTAAGGTCTCCATCAGGTCTATACAGCACATAACCACGACTATGTACAACGCACCTGTAGCTGTGTTATCATCCGCGGATCCTGTGTAACATTTCTGTGGATGGCCACCAGTAAATCGTACCCATTGTTTTCAAACGTCACGGCTACGACATCGGCCCCCATGCACAACGTCAACACCACCACCGCCCAGCATATCCGTCCCTGCACACCCATGTCTACAGTGTCTGAGTGAACGAAGCACACTTGTTGGTTAGTAGCATCCCTGTGTCACTGGCCCGTTGCGTAGACTGTACGCAGGATGAAGAGACTGCAATTTGAAAAAAATGCGAGATGAGTGACGCTCACACTATATATACACTTAGCGGCTCCCGAACACTCCCGGGGAAGGCTATTCTATCGCGCAAAAGTGTACGTCTTTTGAAAAGGATTAATGGTGAGGTACACATTTCACTGAACAGCGGATACATATTACTGGAAGCATCCAAGCGACGCACCAGGATCACTTACATGACGGCGTTTTTCATCCCGATATCATGTTACTGCTTCGTGGTCCGAATCGAGGCTTCTACTTTTCATCTTGCTAGGTGTGGTACAAACAAGTCTTCAGAAAGCTTAAATTTGGGCTCTTGGTTTTCGGGTGCAGCTGATAATCCATGACATTCGTAATCCTTTCGCGAACACGTTAGTTTTATTGTAAGCTCGGTAGCACATATCTGTAACTTCTATGAGAGGCATTATATCTGTAAGCTCGGTAGCGTACATCTGTAACTTCTTTGAGAGGCATTATATCTGTAAGCTCGGCAGCGTACCTCTGTAACTTCATTGAGAGGCATTTCATCTCTATGCTCGGTAGCGTACATCTGTAACTTCATTGAGAGGCATTATATCTGTATGCTTTGTAGCGTGCATCTGTAATCTCTGTAACTGTAACTTCTTTGAGATCTGGCATTTCTTTGAGATCTCTATGCTCGGTAACTTCATTGAGAGGCATTTCATCTCTATGCTCGGTAGCGTACATCTGTAACTTCATTGAGAGGCATTATATCTGTATGCTTTGTAGCGTGCATCTGTAACTTCTTTGAGAGGCATTATATCTGTATGCTTTGTAGCGTACATCTGTAACTTCTTCTTTGAGAGGCATTTAATCTGTATGCTCTGTAGGGTACATCTGTAACTTCATTGAGAAGCATTATATCTGTATGCTCGGTAGCGTACACCTGTAACTTCATTGAGAGGCATTATATCTGTATGCTTTGTAGCGTGCATCTGTAACTTCTTTGAGAGGCATTATATCTGTATGCTCTGTAGCTTACATCTGTAACATCTTTGAGAGGCATTATATCTGTATGCTTTGTAGCGTACATCTGTAACTTCTTTGAGAGGCATTATATCTGTATGCTCGGTAGCGTACATCTGTAACCTCTTTGAGAGGCATTATATCTGTATGCTTTGTAGCGTGCATCTGTAACTTCTTTGAGAGGCATTATATCTGTATGCTCGGTAGCGTACATCTGTAACTTCTTTGAGGGGCATTATATCTGTATGCTTTGTAGCGTGCATCTGTAACTTCTTTGAGGGGCATTATATCTGTATGCTCTGTAGCGTACATCTGTAACTTCATTGAGAGGCATTATATCTGTATGCTCTGTAGCGTACATCTGTAACTTCTTTGAGAGGCATTATATCTGTATGCTTTGTAGCGTACATCTGTAACTTCTTTGAGAGGCATTATATCTGTATGCTCGGTAGCGTACATCTGTAACTTCTTTGAGAGGCATTATATCTGTATGCTCGGTAGCGTACATCTGTAACTTCTTTGAGAGGCATTATATCTGTATGCTCGGTAGCGTACATCTGTAACTTCTTTGAGAGGCATTATATCTGTATGCTCGGTAGCGTACATCTGTAACTTCTTTGAGAGGCATTATATCTGTATGCTCTGTAGCGTACATCTGTAACTTCTTTGAGAGGCATTTTATCTGTATGCTTTGTAGCGTGCATCTGTAACTTCTTTGAGAGGCATTATATCTGTATGCTTTGTAGTGTAAATATGTAACTTCTTTGAGAGGCATTATATCTTGGAAGCGTACATCTGTAACTTCTTTGAGAGGCATTATATCTGTATGCTCGGTAGCTTACATCTGTAACTTCTTTGAGAGGCATTATATCTGTATGCTCGGTATCATATATCTCTACCAAGTCATGTACAATGTTTGGTTCGAGACATAAATACTGACCACCACTGTGTGGTGTGGCGGAAATACATCGACGGAATAAGAAAATGGATATTGGCTATGAGATACCATGAACATCATCATTGCAAGTTTGAAATTATAAACAAATTTTAAAAAGCGTGTAATAAATGCTCCAAATGAAAATTACCATTGATAATAAGTAACTGCCTCGTCTTCGGGTTTAGAAAGCAGTGGGTAGCCAAGAGGTTTTAGATTTTCAGGCCAAATATACAGGTTCGATTCTCCACATTTCCACAGGGCTTTTATATATGATTAAACTATTTCACAACATTTGACACTGACTCATGTTTTCCTGAAGTACACTGATAGTGACATATACACCGTTGTATACCTTGTGTGTGTGAATAAAGTGGACCAAGACTTTCTTCTCTATTTTTATTAAAGTTGTTTTTGTTTTTTCATTCCAGCATAATGGGTACAATCACATGGGTATGGACAGTCATCAGCATGTTGTACAGGCTTCATAACAAAGGTCAAGGAGATGGACATTGAAAATATAAGGAAGTAATTCTATGGCTGTACAGATATACAATATTATATAGAACTGCTGTATAAAATCAGATAAACTCTATCCCAAGCTGGTACAAACCGGTTCAAGAATGGCACAATGTTTGTTGAAGAAAGTAAACTTCAAGGTTGTAGGCCAGTGATACATAAAATCAGATATAGTTAATATGATTGTTTGAGATGCAAAGTTCAAGAAAGGCACATATGGCTATAGGTCAATAGCGTACCGAAAGGCCAATAGTATACACAATCAGATGTAATTTGTCAGCTTAGAGATGTACAAGAATGTTTGAAAATACAACAATTGAACAGTGGCAGAAAGTCTGCAAGGAGAGTCTGCAAAGGTTCAAGAAGGCATAGTGTTTGCAAATGGAGGTAAGTATAGTATGACCAGAAATTATTGAGAATTTTAGGAATATGTTTAATTGGATTTCTAGTATAGACCATTCTTAATGAGGCCTCATGAATATTCATATCTGTACCAAAACGAGGCTAAATTGGGCAAGGACACAATCGCATAATGGCGACAAATCTCAATGTATACTTCCTGGTTTCAAATTTCCCTTGAACGGTACATTACGAAACTGTCCAGTAGTTCAGGGAAATCGCAGAGAAATGGGAAGGGCTACACAAATGTTTTTGTAGCATATCCACGGATTGAAGGGTGAATAATTACTGTACATCACGACACATCACGATAAGTAATATGTAGATCAAGATAGCTCTCCTCGAGTGGATCTGGCCAAACAAAATTGTATTATTCATGTGATGAAATTATTTGTTTGGTATTTTTTCTGTTTAAAATGCTTTGTCCTATCGACTCTGTTTTATAGATATAGGGTACTTATTCACGCATTTATTTTCAGTTGTACAGGACTACTGGTGATGGCGATGTGCGCGTAGCTGCATGTTACAATCGCAGAGGAAAAACGAATCGCCACATCATCATGTAGAAACCATTTATTTCAATCAACATGAGTGGGACACAATGTGCAAGACAAAACTGGATGATTTTTTTCAAGTTCTTTTTTTGACTGATTTGGAGGTGAATAATTATTTTACCTAAATGGACTTATGGTACCTTCATGGGGAATATTTGAACCAATTTTCAATACTGTGTTACTATACCATAAAATTGATTTATTGTAGAGGTTTTAAGGAGAACATATTATCAGGTTAACATAACAGGATTCACACTACAGCAAACAAGTAGCCTAAATAAATAACGAACACCTGGAGTGCAGTTAATAAAAGTTTATTCTGAAATGGTGTCTTAAAAGTCCAATAACAATGGACACATTCACAATAGCTTCCAACTGTAACACTGATGAATAACAATAATATTTTCAGAGGATGCAAATTGAAAATATATTGGGTGCAATATTTTTGTTGATAGAAATATCTTTTTAGATTAGTCTGACATGAATGGCAACAATTACAGCTGGATCAATTAATAATTTATCATATTTTACTCCCTTACACATTATCATAATCTCTTACCTGGTTTTTCTGGTTCCCAACTAACTCTTTTCAAACAGGATGAAATACATTCTTTTTCATCAATTATTAATTAAACAGCAGCAAATGAGTTACATCTACAACTATGCCATTATGAAATACCTTTCTTTTATTCATCAATGTGTATGTTTTACAGCTGTCGCTTTTTTCATCCATCATCTACACAACACAAAAGCACGAAACAATTTCATTTTACATTCATGTCTGTCAATGTTGTGCTGTTTGGGCAAGGTACATCACAAAACCTGGGAAGATATTCAACAAATGAAAAAGTTCCAGCTAATCAGTGCCAATGTTTGAAATGATGGAATACTGTAAAATGTGCAATCAATTTTTATCATCATACATGAATTTACAAACCCAAACTTTTCAAGTTCAAGTTTTCTGTTCAATTTTTCTATTTTGTCAACCTTTTCCTTGAGTTGCTCTCTCCTGTTCATGTAATTTCTGATGGAGTTGTTCTATGTAGGACTGGGGGTCAGTGGCTGCTGTATCACTCTCTGCTCCACTGTAATATAAGCATTGTAAAGCATCACTAGTATCTCTCTGACCACACAAACAATAAAATATATCTCTGGAATTACAAATATACATCAAGGAGTAGAGTCTAACATCATTTCATATTTTAGACAGTATGTGCAATCAATATTTTTATATGTAAATAACATAGCATATAGGTCAAAGTTCAGTTGTATTAAATTCGTGAAAACCATGTCAGTTGGTTAAATCAACTTAATACGATCTGACATTCTTACTGTATCTGAGATGGTGACTGTCGTAGATTCCTTATGGGAGGTGCTCTCTGACTCTTAATTGGCAGCACCTGAAATGGATATTTAAACACTAAATATATTTCAGTTGTTGTAATTAGTTTTGAATGTGTGTGTGACATTCACATTGTACATGTACCCTAATATTAAAACCTTGCATAGTGAACAGTTTGTACATTTCACGGCAGATCTAGACTATGCCATGTGCCGTAATTATTTTGTACTTACTATGAATCATTTTCCAGGGTCTCTCCGTATTTTCGTCAACCACTGCCTTCTCTTT